TCAAGAGTTCCACATTAAAAATAGCTTCGGTCCGAACGGGTGTTTCTCACGGTGCGCAATGTGTGACCAGGCTTCACGGGTACATTGTTCCGTGCAAGCGACTCGCGCTATGCGCCTTTTTACGCGCTATGCGCCGGAGAACGGAGCGACGGAGGAGATAGGTGGAACAGCTGGAATTAAAGTGTGGGTCGAAACGGCCGGATCTCCCTTGCTACGGGTGCATAATATATGCGACAAACAAGGAAAAGTGACTTGACTTGACACAGCGCAAACAATCGGATTTCAATAACCGTTACCCTCTGACGTAACGCGGCGCGATTATCATCTTGTCGCGCCTGTGGATCCTACATTGCTATCAACAAAGGAACAATAGTCTCTTCAGAATTTAATAGATTTTTTTATTTTCCGCGATTAACAATAAGTATTGCGAAAGTGAGAGGTAAATACGGTATGATGAATTCTTTATTTGTCGCCGATGTCGATGAGAAAGTAACGAAAATGCTGCTAAAATTCATGGAGGAAGGTCGTTCGAGGCCGCTCCGAGTTCTATCGGAGGAAGGAGGAAAAAAGAAGTGGAGAACGAGTCCTTTGCTCGCTCACGCTGCGCGAATTGCTAAACCGACCTTGCGCGTTGTAACTTGTAACGATCGGCGTAGGCGTGGTTGCAACCGATGGGGAGTTGTAGGTGGTGGATTTAAGAAAGGTATCCGATTCGCGATGCGAGTCATGGAAATTTCGAAATTCAATAAAGTGCAATAAGAGACCCGGAGGAAACGAATGGGGATTCGAAGCCGGTTAAATGGCAAACCGCAAAAAATATCCTGCGAAACGAAACGGCGTTGATGAATCGCTAGGCCGGATTCGAAGAAGTTGCGAATGATGATGAGTCTGGTATCCGAGTGAAAACCGAATGTCGTCGATTCGCAAAAGAATAATGCTCGATGACTCATGTTGACGGACAGACCGGATTGACTGGTACGACCGTAGCAGACGCGAGTTATAAATCTATAACAGTGTACTTGGAGCCGCATGGTGCGAATAACATGCTTACATGTGCGCGCCTAAGCCGCGGCTCTTGATCTGATTTGAGACAAGTCCGCGTATAGAATCCGTACATGTATCCGCTGCGTCTAAACGTCTACTCGCGATACGATTGCTCCAATTTGCATCAATATTATTTATCGATTTCTAAAATCTCTGATAAAAAAAAGCCTCACGCGTTGCCCTACATACATACATAATTATTTATTTACTTCTCAATAATTATATTTGCTTATAAAAACTATCTCTTGTAAGAGATAAAAAATATCATTTCGTAATTTACATGAAACACTGTACACGCTAAGATTAACCATCTAATCCGTAAAGTGCATCGAGTTTTATTTAAGAAGCAAAATTCGTCACATTATTGGTATTATTAATCACGGTGGGGATTAATTCTTTAACTGAGTAAAAGAGAACATCGGGAAGTGTCGCATCCACGACGGCGGGGGGGGGGGGGCAGAGACGGTGTCAAAGAGGCGCCAAGGATCGGCCGGAGCGTGAATCGCGGCATCGCTCGCCTGTTGCAATCAAGATGCCTCTCGCCACGAGCCGTTGACGGCGCGCGGCGAGTTAACGCGTTAACGTCGTCTCACATTGACGTGGGCAGATGAAAGGGCGGGGACACACGGTGCGTGTGTATGTATGTACACGCGGACTCCCGAGCCACCGCGATTACGTGCATAAAATTCAAATTACGCCCGTCCGCGCCGCGCCGCCGTCACATTCTCGCGAATGCTGCGGCCGACTTCGCCTTTTGCCCACTGATCGCGACTGCATGCAAATTTATCCGCGCGGCAAAGCCGCTCGAATGGTCTATTCATTTTTGCGAAATAGCGCGACGTCAATGGAAAGCTTAACGATTTATCGTTCATATTAAGCTGATGTTGTATTCATTTCAATGCTCCTCAAGTGTTCGATTTGAAAATATCTCTACGATTATTCTTCAGATCAAAATTCTGATAAAGTACGGACCATTCAAAGTTGAATAATATTATGCTATTTGTATTCTCGCTGCTAAAGCTTGATACGTGATCCTCTTTGTGCGTTTCATTAGCGGCGCGGTGGCAGCAACAGTTTACAAAGTTATAGACGCACATAACGAGGGGCCGTTAAACTCTTGCGACTCTGCTCGCGTGGGCAACCCTACTTTTTTTTTTTTTTCAAATACCCGATATTTATAGGCAATAAGCTGACGTCACTCCAAGGCTGCATGCGTAAGTGCATCGTTTCTAACGCCACGTGTTATCGCGCGTTCGTCCGCGAATTCCTTCTCTTTATCGGCAATAATGTTTACGTCGATCTAAAGAAGTAATAAATTTGCATAGCAAGCGCGTCCTTAACGATTCAAAGGATCAACGATTCCGACATGCTGATCTAACGGTGCGCGATTTTCCGGATGGAAAAGAAAAGCCCCGAAGCTCGCTGTGGCGTTTCTTATATCGCGCGAATGCGCACAGCGAAAATATGCATTATTGGCCTACATATTGCGACAAGCGAACAGCTTGGCGCAGCGCACGGCCGGGATCCGCCGGCAATCGGTGATGTTATCGCGCGTATATCCAGTGCCCTCCTCGCGGGCATAATAATGGTGCAGTACGGCGGTAACGGCGTAATTACTTACTACGTACCGCGTAACGTGCAATTCTAATTACGTAATTTGACATTTACGTAGCTGATACGTCGGGGCAGAATGAGCAAACCGTCACGTCGCACCGTGAGAGAGCGGAGCTACGTGGACATTGCGGACTGCGCGATCACGCCTTGCCGTAACTACCAAGTTTATTTTGCGGTTGTGTGCAGATCCGCATTTTGTGGCATTTTCCACTTCTTCGATTAACAACACCACTAGACGGGGTTCTGCAACTTTTTACCGATGTCAATACTTGGCAAGTTTTTCTTTCAAAGATTGCAAAAGTAAAATTCATAAAGAAACAAATTCAATTGTTAGAAATTTCTTATAAATTTCTAAGATATATAATATATCTTTTCAGACTATTATTCTTATTCCGTAATTTCGCATGAATTACATAATTTATTTTTCTAAGACATATAGATTTAGAAAATACTTTAAAAATATGTTTAGAATTTCTATTCAATATATATGTCCTTTTAAATTTGAAAAAATTTTAAGAAAGCAAGAAGAGAACTTTGCTGCTCGTTGCGTTTCGCGACGTTCCCCACAGCGGCCTGATCGGCAGCACATACTCTACCATTTTCCACTGTCTATACTGTCGGTTTTACCGACAGTCAGTCAAACATCATCGTACTACTCTACTATGCATTTTAGCACCGAGCACAAGTCGCACTTTGTGCTAATTGCCAATTACGACACGTAGTTGCTCGCTTCAAACATGCATACAAATTGCGCAGCGAGCAACGATGCTCGGTCTACATTCGGTCATTCGTATTCATTACGTTCATGAGACAATTGCGTTATTTTGTATATTTGTGCTGTTTAAATAAAACTCGCAATTTGATTTTAAATTGTGAGATCCGCACAATCATTAGGGAAGCTATTGATGTACAACTGATTCAACTGGAGTGACAACAATTAAATTACAGAATTCTCTACAAATTAAACTGCTTTACGCCACCGCAGGGTTTACGGGAGTATTTACACACGTGACAAATATATTATCTCATTTTCTCGTGCTCTATTTTCATCAGCATAAAAATAGAATATCGTCAAAGTGTCGCTAAAGACTCTAATAACGTCTGAATACGACTTCGTTATGAAGGCGTCGTAGGAAAATTACAGTGTTATGCTAAATGTACCTTTTTAACATTAATACAATTCGTGACATTTCCTTCTCATTAATGCATCCAGAAATGCGTATACGATACCGCTTATTCGTAGCATGCTCAATTGTAACGGCGCTTCGATTTCATCGCAATGACGAGTAGGCATGCGTATTACGTCGCGTGACAGTTTAATTTAATGAAGGCGGCTCGAAAGCCCGCAAGCTCGACAACCAGTGAAGTCGCGGAATAAAAGAGGACTTCGAATGCGAATGATGCGACACACATGTTCATTTTCCGCTAAGCGTCAATCCCGGCTCAATGTGGATTACATTCTAACACTTCTTCCTGCAATCTGCGACTGTCGCTTTATTCGCAGTAACTATCGCTTCAATCTTCCAGCCACGCTTTGATAGACACGAGAAATTTATCACAGTCTAAAAATTTTTTACGATAAATCATTTGAAGAATTTTGATGATCGGGTAATTCAGAAGACACTTTTTAAGGTTCTGAAATTTTTTTACTGTCGAGTGACATTCCACTTGTGACGAACTCGCCGCGAAAAATTTTCCCCGCAACAGCCCGTAGCTAGATTACAGCTCAAGTTCGGCGGAAACGAGGTATTACGGTACGAAGCAGTCGGTAGATGTGCCGTTATGCGATTGCTATGCCACTGCGCTGCTCTAGGGAATGTGGGTGGAAAATGACTGTCTCTACTATTGTTTTCTTCTTTTCTATCCGCTGCATCATGCTGCAGCCCTACCGCAGCTCACTGCAATTCCCTACCCTTTGTGTCATTCTCTGCGCACCCTTCGCTGAATCGATTGCACTTCACACATCCTTCATATTTTCACGCTCCCTTTATTCACCGACCTCTTTATTTCTTGTTTCTATACGTTACGTCATCGTAAAAAATTATTTAGATTTAGGAAATATTGAAATAAACGTCGCAAATGTAGGAATGAAAAAAAGCAGTGAAACCTAACGGCATAATGAATCATTCAAACGCAATGATCGCCAGTGATAAAAATTTGAATGATAAAATCGATAAATAATTTTAAATTAATATTTCTTAGCGAATAAATTCTTGCGTTATCCGCTTAGAGTTAGAAAAGTGATTCGTCATGTTTTACTATTCATTTTTCTCCGCAAGGACTCTTGAACTTGACACTTAAGCTCTAAGCATTAAATCGACGGAAAATGGCGATGAGCTTACTGTATTTTGATGAAACCGCAAACTGCCGGATCGACGAAGCGTGCCGCCGCGGATATTCGCAGGTGCCAATTCGACTTGACGCCCGTCACAACCGCCGCGTCTCGATAACTCCGACAGCTCGGCGACCGGTTGCACCTGCAACGAAATCGACATGTTAATATTGCAATACACATGCATCACGCGAGCACGCCCTTAAGCGCGCGACGAAAGTCATTTTCCTTTATGAATAGCCGCGTCACAAATATCCATGCAATAAATGAAAATACGTGCATTCATCGTTCTCAAAGAAATAAGCATTCAAATTCTCATGAATTAAAATTTATTTTCGGAAGTTTGAAATTCTCTTCGATCTTTCTTTCCTTTCTAAATACATAAAGAATTCTAAAATAAACTCTTTCGAAGAAAATTTTCCAAAAATAAACTTCCTCAATTATCCCAAAACTCTGATGGGGTGCTAACTCTACAAATGTCATATGAAACATATATAGAGGTCGATACCCCCCTCGCCGTTTGTCTAATCTCCATTAATCACCGTTACGAACGGCTCCGCCTGTTATCGACGTGTCTGCGTGGCTGATACGCGCGCTCTGCCGATCGAGCGTGTATAACGGGCACGACTTACGTGCGTACGGGTCCGGGCTCGTGCAACATACAGAGAACAGGAAGCAGGATGTTGACCGAGAGGGGCCTGCCGGCGTGTTACCTATACATAAGTATGTAAATCACGTCACGTTCCTTCTGCCGCGGTGGGAGAGCGGAGGGTAGAACGGGGAGCGGGTCCGTGGTGCATCGGGAGAGAGACTCGCGACACCCGATAGATACTGCCTTCTCAAGTATTTTCCACTTGCATCGCTAAGCCATTCCAAGGAGTTCCCGCGATGATAAATGGGAATTACGAAACGCGGTAGATTTTACCACGCTCTGATATACCAGAACTTATGATTGCACACGATAATTGCGGATTTGACAGTTGCACTTTATTGAGAAATATCTCGCCTGAGAGTTAGAAGCTGTGAAGTATATCGTGAAATTCACCGAAGTATTTCTCTAACGAGAAGCACGATACGTGACTTCTGATACACCCTGTACGCAGCATATAACACGCTCGGTTTGCCAGTGAATTACATCCGGTTTTTTCCCCCCTATGCGCCTTTCTCTCTCGCTCTAATGATTATTTCCTTCCTCTCTTCCTCTTGTTCTCTCGCGTGCCTAGCATTTTCGGGTGCTTGGATTATAGAGAGATTCTCTCTATATTATTAAGTTGTTTGATCTTTCGGCAAAGTAAACTCGATTTAAAAGTATTGTTTACTTTTCTGTCGTGATTGCTTTTATTTTTGTCGCCATACATTTATCTCATCATCTAGTGTTTTCCAAAAGAATGAATTTATGGTACAAGGGGACGCATGCTGCATATCGATCTTTCGACGTTTCACGATGCGCGCTGACGCACGAAATCTCTGGATTACCTTTGTCCACTCCACCCCGGAGATTACATTCTGCACTTCTGTGTGAGGCGCAGTGAAAGGGAGAACGGTGCAACGCGGGCGGAATTACATATTTCGTTTCTGCCGCTGCGGGAACGCGGCGGCATTTTTAGCATTCCGCGACTACGGGGCAAGGTCAGACGCGCTTGGGCATCTCCTTCTCGCCTAGGCCTCTTTTACTTTTTCATCTCCGTTCGCCGTGCTCTGAAGCGCGTCTCGTTTGGCTCCTCTTTATGTGACGCGCCCTCGGGATAGTCGATTTGTGCTGGATGGTGACGATGGAAGAAGATCGGATTCTCGGTAAGGCTGCTATTTTCACATGACAGTCTCGCCCCGGGTATAGTTTTATTAGCGAGACCGTGACTCACGATCCCGCTATATTCGTTGCCAGCAGTGGCAATGAACCGGCCGACATCGCACAGCAATTACCAGTCCTACCCGCACTTTTTGCAAATTCGCGGTCTCTCACTTTTATTCGAACGCGATGCGAGCTGAGCGACTGAGCATCGATGAAAATAATGTGCTTTCCACAATGCGCATACTATTATTATTTAACGCCAAATAATTATTGTCTGATCTTTATCTTTATCAAGATAAAAATCAGGACGAAATACGTGTGGTATTATAGTCGCCGTTATTTATCAGAACATGACGCATTTCACTGCTGCAATATATCAAAGGTCTACGAAACGACATTCGATCGACCCCTTTCCGTGACCTTTAGGGAACTTAAAGATTCCTAAACGCCTTTCACCACATCCGACGCGGATTTCCTCGTGCGATACCGAGCGACATTCATGTACGTTGTACGTTAAGTGGTGTTTTAAAAGAGGTTCAAGGTTAGTCATCGTCACGAGAAGCGAGATAATGAGAAGTAAGTGCTTAACAAGACGATAAGTCAATTAATGGCCGACTGATAATCCAGCAAATAAAGGTCGAGATGTCGTTATACCGCGTTCAACCGTTAGAATACCTTCTGGTAAACGCCACCAAATTTTACACTGCGCTTATGCTAATAAGCCACATTGCTGCGCGTTCGGGAAGAGAAAGGTTCGTTCACAGAGAGTACGAAGGATCGACACGTTCGACACGATCGCGATACGGTCTGTGAAAGAGAAAAGGATGAGGTAGAGAGTATTATCGCTTGCGCAATGTTTAAGATACGCTCTGACTTCCCAAGTATTCTCATGGTTCAACTGATGCCGACATAACAACTTTTACACAACCGTAGAATTCGCAGTAGATAAAAAAAGGTATGTGTACACTCCATTTTTTTCAAATAATTTTACACGAAAAAAAAAAAAGATTATTGATTTTATTTTTATTAATTTATATTATTATTTTTATTAAATAAAGTAATTTATAGTAATATTTCTCTTCTTGCAAAATTATTTCGCGAAATGGAGTGTACAAAAATTTTATTTTATAAGCTAAATAAAGATCAATTAGATTGAGGACTACCTTTACGGTGACGCTGCTGGCGGAGCTCTTGATGAGATCGATGATCTCTTCGCGCGACTTGTCATCCACGTTGATCCCATTGACCTCGATCAGTCTGTCACCGGGCAACAGACCCGTGTCGTTGTTGTGTTGCACCAAAGCACCGGGTTCGGCAAAAATCACCGGTCTCATCTGCGTGACGCCGTTCGCCGCTCGCTCGACGATCACGGCGCGTCGCAGGGAGAAGCCGAAGTCGTTTCGCGGCGGAGGCTGTCTCTGGATGGTGAGTTCTCTAGGCTCGGGCAACTCGAGTGGCACGATCTCCGGGAGCTGCAGCTCGATCCCTTGTTCTTCGAAGGAGACCGAAGATCGCCACCTCGAGAAGCCCTGCGACTCGCCGACAGGCGACAGGCTGAACGGCGGTGTTGCGAAGCTTGAGTTTGTCGTGTCCGTCAAGGAATCCGCGGACGGACTAGCGCTAGTAACAACCTAAATATAATAAAAAAGTTTTTATACCATACACAAGAAATCTCGATTTACGTGAACGTTAGAACGTAATAATCTCACAGAGCAAACTATCAGATATTTATTACTCAAATTTAAGACGATAATTAATTAAAACTATTTGCGTTTGAAATGAACGCAGAATAATTTAAAAAATCTTGTAAAATAATTGCACGACGAATTAGAAAGGCGAAAGACATAATTCACTCTTGCACATCGGTTCGAAGGAACCTCCCGCTGTTGTCTATTCATATTGAACTTTAAACAAACTCGCCGGCACTTAGCATCTCATTACGCGTTTCGGCCGAAATGACCGTAATAATCGGGTTTCGCTGCAGCCAATGCGCGGACCGGCGAGAGAAAGCGGAGTGTGTTATCTAACCTGCAGCAGTTTGGAGTCGATTTGGTGATGCTGTTGTTGCTGCTGCTGCTGATAATGCTGCTGAACGGTCTGCTGGTGCGGGGTGACGCGCCACGTGGTTTGACACACCGTCTCCTCTTCGCTATAGATCTCGTCCTTGTTCAGAACGTTATTGAGATGCGTCGGCACGTTTTGATAGGCAATTACTTCGTTCTGCAGGGTGTTTCTCACCAGCAGATTGCTGGCCTCCTGGTAACTCGTTTCGGTGCCGTTCGGCAGCGCGTTCTCCTCCGAGAGGACGCTCGAGGCGCCGCTCAATCGCGGCCCTTTGAGAATTCCTCTTTTAGGCGGTTTCGGTGGCAGCGGCGGTAAACACTTGCCGCCAGCCTGGCCGCCGGCGTGGCTCGTCGTCGTCGACGACGTGGTCGTGGTCGTCGTCAGGGAGGTGAGAGACGTCTCCGACGAGTCGCTCTGCGTCAGCCCGTCGGGCGTTCTGTTGGTCCAGCTGCTGGTACCGGCGTTGACCGCCGAGCCCGGTCCCGATCCCGCGTTCTGCGTGCCGTCCAGAAGATCGCGGTCCAAATGCGCGAAAAACGACGCGCTGTAATCCGCCGTGATGCCGCTCGGTAACTTTTCTTTCTCCTTTCGTCGGCCGGGAATCTTCAATGATCTACGAACCTGGAACAAAGCGCGAAAACAATGACAAATGGTTTGCAGGACACTTTAAGCCGGCGGCTTCGAAGAGGCGTGCACGGTGGATTCTTACGATTTTTCTCAAACGTTTTCCTTTCTTTTTTAAATACAACGATGCGTTGCCCATATCGTGAAATATCTTTGCAATTCTTATTCCATAAATAAACAACGTACGCAACCGGCACTGCTTATCGCGTGAAACCACATCCAACGACAATACTGAATCTACAGAAAAGGATAACAACTTTTCAAGACGAATCTTATTTGTATTTCTGCGCTAGCAGTTTTCTATTTCTTAAAAAAAATTTATTTGATTGATTCTCTGGTGATAATAGTGCTTTGAAATGCAATGCACGCGCGATACGTTTTTTAAATGCGCATTAATTAATAACATCCGTTCGGAAAGCCTGTGAAAAATCTTATCGTCTCTTAGTATCGATGATCTTGTTCACGGCGATAAAAAATATAGTCCGAACAAGATACCGATATCTTCGTGCAGCTCGTAAATATACGAGCAATATCAGTGTACACCCACTTTGTCATTGAACGATGCGATAACCAACCATGCATAACCATACGCGAACCACGATTTAAAAACCAAATAATTGCGGAAATGCTTGCATATGATTGAACCAAATAGCCATCGCTTATCGCGTGATTTGCATGAAAAAGGAAGAACAAGGTTGATCTTTAATAAAAAGCCTTCGCGACGTTGTCGCGCTCACCTCATCCAATCGTAGGAGCTCCTCCGCGGACATGCTGCTGCGATCGCGCTTCTTGACATCCTTCCGCTCCTTCTTCTCGCGCTTCCGCTTCTCCTTGTCGTCCTTCTCCGCGGCCTTCTTCATAAAGTTAAACATCTTCTTCACTCAACTAAAAACGTCCCAAGCCGTACGCGAGAAAGAGATAACATACGATATCTCGTTTCTCGATTGCTCGAACGTGCCGGACGCGGCCCTACGCGGCGCAATCGCGAACAGTCTCGATTTCTCGCACCTCGTAGCATATATGTGTATATCTATTATTATTAATTAATTTACCACAGCACCGTGTCCGTCAAAACAAGCGGCGAGCGCGTGCCGTGTGACTCTGCGAGCGATCGGCGCGCGCGAATTATTGGCCATGCGAGGCGCGCCGAGTCGCGCGCATCGCTTCGTCACCGCCGCCGCGATCACCCGACACTCACGAGGACTCGAAGAGCGGCCGTCTGTCACGATTCGTTCCGGAGTAAGCCTCCTCGTACGTCCGTAGTAACTCCCGAAGCCCCGGCTCGCCTCGGAGCGCACCGGTGCACCCTATCGACCGGCGACGGCGCGGCATTCATCGAGTTGTCCTCGAAATCGTCCCCTGCAATTTATTGAAAGATTCATTAGTTGTCATTTGGTAATGATGTATCCTTGATGAATAATCAGCAGGTTAATCCGATCGATTACGATCGAAATTAGAATCTGCGCGGCGCGGCGCTCGCTTCTATGCGTTGCGTTCGATATAAATAAGTCGGGAGAATTTATAGACACACTTCCGGGATCCTCTCGACGTCGACCTGCCCCGTGCGATTAGTGTTAGTCTCGGCCGGAGGTCGCCCGGATGTGGTGCGCACGTACGCAAGGGCGTGAACCGAATTGCATCTTCATGGCCGGACGCTTCCGGCATTCGGTACCGCGAGGTATGCGGAAGCCGACAAGATCTCTCGCGCGGACCGCCGTCTTCTTACAGACGGCAGAAGAAGCGGCGATAACGTAATCGTTTGTCCGGCACTCGTTCGCTCGACTTGTTCTCCGCGAAGCGAAAGGGCTTTCTTTTTTTTTTCAATCTCTTTTTTCAATGCATCGCTCGCGAAACGCGTGAGTGCGCTCCTCCTCGCCATTCTCGTCGTCGCGTGACGCCGCCGCGGAGTCAGCGAAATAAGAAAGTTGTCGAAACTGTGCATTACCGGGCCGATTACCTCAGCGATTATCGACACGCGCGTTCGTCATTGCGTAGAAATGAAACGGTCGAATGAATTGGTTGGTTGTTCGGGATTCAATTAAAGGAGGCTGCAATTTTTCCATACATAACGGCTATTAATTCAGACCCGATGCATCGAGCTATCCTTCACACCCTCATTACTCACATTTGCATGGCCTCACGGAAGACGATTAAGAAGTCATAGCTATGTCCTGAGATTTATGAGAGCGTGGAGAATTGGAAAGGCGACAATTAACACTGTTGCTAACGAAACGGCATACATTGCAGTCGTTTAATTGTGTGTTTTTCTATGCTTTCTCGTGCATGCATAAAAGGGAAGGTAATTTAAATGTAATCGGAGCACGCGGAAATGCATTACGCAAATGTTGATTTTACATCATGGAATTATCACATCCGCAGAATTGAGTGACGAATCTTTGATAAATGTCTCTGTGTGAATGCAAATGTGATAGCACAAATATGTTTTGCAAAGAATACACAATACTCTCTGTTCCGGCGTGTGACATACGTCGCAATAGCGCTATTCGCGACTATATCAACACGCTTTCCACACCACACCTTACGCTACGTTCTTCGTTCAAGGGCGGCTCGGAAAATCCCGTTGGTCTACGCCGGCGAATCTACAGGCGTGCCGATCGATTGCTCGCACTCTAAGTCGCGTGCGTATAATATTCGGAGCCGGCGAATTTTCGGAGCACGCGGCCGTTACGGCGCAGCGCACCGAGAATTCCAATCGCGATCAACACTTTGACTTATTTTGATTCGCATTTGTGCTTGCAAAGCGCAGGAAAAGCTTCGTTGTTACCAGCAAATTTTGCAAATAGAATAATTTTATGACAACTGCCGAACAAACCGCTCGGAAAATCTTAATCTTTTTATCACGATTAATATTCATTAAATGCAAAAGACTGGGAAACTTAGCAGCGCGTGAACGGAAACCTCGAACCTGAGCGAAGGTCATGCGATACCGGCGAATTTTTCGAGGCATGCGAGCACTGCGACCTTTTCGACGGGCCGTTCGAAATCTCTCGACCGTCTCGCTGCGATCGATGCCGCGTAACTCGCTGAGAACGCATTATACGGATAGATTTTTTGTCGTTTCGCAAGCATTTCTGAGACAGTCTCAGGTCGGAGGAAGCGTCCTACCTACGGGGTTCGACGAGGTGCATCGACTGAACCGAACCCTGGTAGAGCGGGAGCGTGGCTGTCTATTGTACTCCGACGTGTATCTTCGGAGCGTTCCTCGTGCTCCGAAGCTGACAGCGAAGGCAGCCGTGCGTACGGCACGAGAGACACGCGTCACATCAACAGCACCGCCACCACAACACCCGCCATTCACACCGAGCACCCACGACGCGTGCCCGCCCGCTCGCTCGCTCGCTCGCTCGAGACGCGCGCTCGCGTTTCCGCGAGATCGGCCCGCCGATGATCAGCGCGTCCAGGAAGGCAACGCCTGGTGGCCGACCTTATCGGAGCTGCTGCTTCGCCGCGACTCCAGCACCGTGACGGTCCAGCCGAGATCGGGCCTCGGTCGACGTTCTCGCGGTGCAGCCTGATACTGCAACGCGAGTACGAGCATCAAGTCCTGGGGCCTCGACAGCGGCGCTCTTTAAACGCGTTACTACGGCTACGTTGCACTCGCTGCGACACGGACGATGACTATCATGGCAGCGCGAATTGGTAGCGGGGCCGGCGACGACTGCTAGCGCCTTCGGCCAGACAACGGCCTGTTAACCAGCACCCTTCTTTTCACAACAGCTACTCCTGGCTATCCACGCATGCGTGCGAGATTTTCAGACCTTTCGATCCATCGGCGGAGTACAGCTGTAGCTAAAGCGGACCAGGTCTTTGACTCCAAACCTAGTTGCCGTTTTCTGTGGCGCCGCAAGAAAAGAGAGTGATTTCACCATCAGTCGGTCGGAGAGCTAGATAGCTGCGAGCCTGAGGGCTATTTCATTTAAGAGGATGCTGGAGTGCCTGATGAACTCCGACGCGAAAGCGCCATCATTTCGATGGAACTAAAAATGAGAGTGATATTATCGGCATAAGTCATAATCTAAGTATGAATGTATTATGTATGCGTATGTGTGGTGCGTGTATATATTCGCATATTATTGTATAGCGCCTCTCTGATATTATCCTGGAACTAATCTTCTGTTATTTTTTCATCTGTTATACCGATATTGGACGCACACGTATGTAAAAATAGTCGGACAAGAATATTTTTTACATTAGACTTTTCAGCCCAATTTTAATGGTTCCATAACATTCTATTCTGCAGTCCGCAATTCGGGCTGCTCTTATTCAGCGTCTTAAAACTGTTAAACTTTTATAAAAAACGAAAATAGATAGCGGCTAATGCTTGGTAGTAGTTTTGTTTTACTGACGAAAAATTAATGTCGTAATTTTGGAAAATTTTTTTTATTGCTTGTATATAATTACAAATTCTTTTATGTGATTAAAGTGTACATGCTAAAGAATCGATTGGTATTACATTTAAAACGAAAAAAAGAAAAAAATTTAGAAATTTTACCGACAAGCTGTCGGTGCATACAAATATTTGTT